TCGAGCGCAAGAAGACCTACTCGAGCGGATCACCAAAAATTTGGGCAACAAGAGTTGGGACAAAAGCTCAACCAACCTGTTCGAAACACGGTTAATACAATTCTAAACTCAAATACCAAGAGTTAAAGAACGGAAATGAAATACAACCAACAATAACAATCAACGGAACCGTGTAGGAATATAGTAAATAAGGAAGGGAAAATCGAGATCGCTATAAAAGGGCTGAAGAATGATGCTTGGGAGTTGGAATTTCACAAGCTAAGATTGGTTTAGACACTTGTTGAAATTTAAGTTTACAAGTTGAAATTAAACCGAGGATGCGTTTAACACTTGTTGAAATTGAAATTTATAAGTTGAAGTTAAACCGAGGTCATGTTTAACACTTGTTGAAATTGAAATTTACAAGTTGAAGTTAAACCGATAATATGTTTAACACTTGTTGAAATTGAAATTGAAAAGTTGAAGTTAAACCAAGGACGTGTTTAACACTTGTTGAAATTGAAATTTACAAGTTGAAGTTAAACCGAGGATATGTTTAACACTTGTTGAAATTGAAATTGAAAAGTTGAAGTTAAACCGATAATATGCTTAACACTTGTTGAAATTGAAATTTACAAGTTGAAGTTAAACCAAGGACGTGTTTAGCACTTGTTGAAATTTAAGTTTACAAGTTAAAGTTAAGTCAAGGTTATGTTGAAAGAAATATCTACATACTTGTCGAGATTACCATGTTGCCAAGACTTGGAAGAAATTTGAAAACAGAAGTCTTGCTAAGAGTGAAGTATCGAGTTATAAATAACACTTGTGAAAATATTGTAAAAAATATTTTCAAGTGTTAAGCCGAGGCTGAAATAAATCGATTAGTGGGTACAACCGAGGTGCTACACCCCGAGGAGATTGCACAGTTAAGGTGTATTTTGAAGACATGCAAATTATTTTAAGTATAGATTGCATTCAGAAAAGGAAAGACGTCACTTCGGCCTAACATTGAAGAATGATTGTTTAGATTACAAAAAGGCCGGTGTGACGTACACCGGTGTCAGACGGTGGTAGTAAGCAAAGAAGTGCAACGAAAGCCTCACTGGAGGGAGAGAGTGAAATTGGTTGCTGAAAGCTTCGCAAAAGCAGCAATGGAGGATTTGAGAGAGAAAGTTTGAACAAGAACGAAGATGCAGAAGTAAAAAGACGGAGAGAGAGAGTTGATCAAAAGCATGAAATGGCAGCAAAATGGCAATTATGGTGCCTTGGACAACGTGCTTGTCAGACAGCGCACGCAAAAGTGATGCGACTTGATAGCGCGTATCAGGTACGGTCCAATTGGGGAAAGACGCGTGGTAAAAACGGTTGAAATACTATGCGTGCCAGCTCATACGCGTGCTGGAACTCTTGGAGTTCTTGATTCAATGAAGCAAATACCTCGGCTAGGAAGACGGTTTTGGCTGAGAAACTTGAACGAACTTGGTCGTTGGTTCTAAGGCATTGATGAAAGCAGACTATAGGTCTTGGTCATATTGAGTCGACGAGTTCTGACTTCGGCAGTAGATGATGAAGTGAGCTTAGCTGATGTGCTACATCCTGATAGTGAAACGAGGATCTCTATTGAACATTATGCTCACCAGAACTCCACGGAGTCGAATAATTTCATAGATGTAAAGTTCGGCTAAACACTCAATAAGATTCCCCACACGTATGGAAAGAAAATGGGCTGACTTGGTAAGTCGATCTACAACCACCCATATCACATCATGGTCCTATTATGTTCTTGGAAGACCCTTAACAAAGTCCATATTGACATATTCCCACTTCCACTCGGCAATTATGAGAGGTTGTAATAATCCCGCGAGTTTTTTATGTTCAGTCTTGACTTGTTGACAGGTTACGCACTTAGACACAAACGACGCTGCATCGTTCTTCATACCCCTCCACCAAAACTAATGGATGAGGTCATCGCACATTTTGGTGCCTCCCGGATGCACCGCAAGGCAAGAGTGGTGGAATTCTTGAAGAACTTCATCTTTAATAGGTTTAAGTACAAACAACTGGTCAAAATAACGAACGCTCATAGCGGCATAAACATTTAGACCATTTTCTTCTTTTCTCTTGGAGATTCTCTACCGAATAGTCTCTACTTCTTTGTCGCCCTGTTGTGCTCCCATTGCTCATGTAACAAGTGTAGGTTGTGCGACAACGGTGAATGGAGTAGCTTGCTCAAAGGACTCATGAAGTTGAAAGTCAAATTCACTAATATCCCCCATCATCTTTTATTCCGTCACTACTAGATTAGCTATGGCACTTACATATTTTTACTCAAAGTATCAGCCACAACATTAGCCTTTCCGGGATGATAGTGTAATTCAAAGTCGTAATCCTCCACAAATTCCATTCATCTCCGTTAGCGCAAGTTCAAATCTTTTTGAGAATATAGGTACTTAAGACTCTTATGACTGGAGAATACTTCAAATTTTTCTTCATATAAATAATGTCTCTATAATTTCAAGGCAAATATGACAGCGGCAAGCTTTAGGTCTTAGGTTGAGTAATTTCTCTCATGAGTCTTTAATTGTCCAAAACCGTATAATACCACCCTGCCCTCCTGCATCAAAACACACCCTAAGCTTTCCTTAGAGGCTTCACAATACACTGTATACCCTAAGCCGCATTTCGGTATAATGAGAATAGGAGTAGCAATCAACCTAATCTTTAGTTCCTAAAATGATTTCTCGCAAGCTTCACTCCAAGTGAATTTCACCCCCTCACGAGTCAATTTAGTCAAAGGTGATGCTATAAAAGAGAAATTCCTTACAAAGCGGCGGTAGTAACCAGCTAAACCTTGGAAACTACAGATTTCAAAGGCATTTTTAGATTGATCCCAATTCTGTATAGCTTTGACTTTTGAAGAATTCACTGTAACCCCGTTCTCGGAAACCACATGGCCCAAAAACTTCACTTCTGAGAGCCAAAACTCACACTTTTCAAACATTGCATACAAATGATGTTCTCTAAGGAGTTGTAGGACAATGCGGAAGTGCCCCTTGTGCTCCTCCTCAAATGGTGAATAGATGAGAATGTCGTCTACAAAGACGACTACAAATTTATTGACAAACTCTCAGAAGATTCAATTCTTCAAGTCCATGAATCTAGAAGGTGCATTGGTCAAACCAAACGGAATAACTAGGAACTCATAATGACCGTATCTAGTATGAAAGGCCATCTTAGGAATATCCTCATCCTTGACTCATAGTTGTTGGTAACCCAACCTCAAATCTATCTTTGAAAAACAATGTGAAACCTTGAGTTGGTCAAAAAGGTCATCTATTCTAGGCAAGGGGTACTTGTTCTGACTGTAACTTGATTCAGTTTGTGGTAATCTATACACAATCTCAACGAACCATCTTTCCTTTTAGAAAACGGAGTCGGCGCTCCCCACGGTGAAGTACTAGGTTGTATGAAGCCCTTATTTAACAGCTCTTGTAGTTGTTCCTTCAAGACAACTAATTCAGTTGGTGCGAATCTATATGGTGACATAGAGATAGGTGTCGTGCTCAGCACTAGGTCTATGGAAAACTCAACCTCCCGATGGGGAGGTAATTTGGTGAGATCTTCAAGAAAGACATCTGAGTATTCGCAAACTACTTTGGGAAACAAATCTCAAACCCTACCACTCCCGTCATCTAAGAAGGTTGCCAGGAGAGTGCTAAGTTCACCTCAACCATGTGGGTTATACAACGGCGACAACAATCCGTTGGTTCTACTCCCCATAAAAGTGAAGCAATCACCACCCGACGTGCACACATTAACTCTCATACGGTTGCAGTCTATGATGGCATAGCAAGAGAACAACCAATCCATACTGAGGATGACATCAAAACCAGACATATCTAACAATACAAAGCTTAATGGGAGTCGACGATCAGCGAACTCAATTACACACCCGCAACATCCCCGATTTAAAATAGTCTTACCCCTAACGAGTGACTCTAGTTGATAAAATATTCCCCCATTTGTGCACCCAATGCTAGTGGATTGGTCAGAAATGATCGGAGGTTAGATGGCAATGACAGTTTGCAGGTGTATTTTATATTTCCTGTGGATTGTTAATGCGAGTTAGTGTATTATGGGAATGGTTATTGTTCCATTAACGATAAACAAGTGCCATAGATGGTGAAGTATCAACTTGAAAATTTGAATATTAAAAGGGGTATTACATATTGTAAAATGAAAGGGCATTTGAAGTATTTTACAAATGGAGACTCTAGTTGCTCACTTTCTAACCCCAACATGGATACAAATGTAGATGCTATGAATGAGTAAGATGTCCCGGTATCTACCAACACACTGGCCCAAGTATTAAAAATAAGATGTGTACCTTTCATAATGGATGGTCCTGAAAACTGTTATGATGCGGTAACAACATACACCCTTTCTTGTAACCTCTACTCTCCTAGATCGTCTCTTGGAACATAGACCTACTGAACAGATTGTGCAGATATGGTCCCGTGTACTGCCCTGGATGCCTAACTCGACTGGGCCTGTTGATGAGACTATCGCTACCCCTAACCTGTATGAAAACCTCTTGATTGGCGAGATCCCGACATGCTCGCTGACCCTACTCTTTGTGGACAAAACTTCTGCAAATGTCCTGGTTGACCACATTGATAACACGACGGAGCCTAACCTCTATTCTAAGATTAGCCTTGAGAACGAGCAAACTAAGACTGTGACCCACCATTCTGTCCACACTCTGAAGCTTTGTGACCCAGTTGGCCATATCAGTAATACGCACCATGGGTTTTCCCGAAAATTCCATCCATCACAAAACTAGAAGACTTGGTCTACTGTGGTGGTGACTGAAACAATGATGATGAACCCCTAGACTTCTTAGAGGATCCCGAATCACCTCGGGATTCCGAGTATCCCGTCTTCTTCAACTTCTGCCTTGCATCCACTGCCTCTACTGTGATTTTTACATGTGTCACGACCTTTCCTAACCAATCATAGTCCTAAATCATATTACCCACCACCTTCATTAAGATTTTTGGTCTTAATCTCCTCTCAAATTCTAAACATCGGCGCTCTTCTATTGCCACAAGTTCAAGTGCAAAACAGGAAAGACTTGTAAATGTGGCTTCAAACTCGGCCACAAGGATGTCAAGCTGTAATAGCTCTTCAAACTGCCTGCTCAACCGTTCCTTAGCAGTGGGAAGGAGGAACATCTCCTGGAAGGCATGCGTGAATGCCTCCCAAGTGTGCTCAACACGATTCTTGGCATATTTGCACCATTGCTCGGCCTTTCTTTGCTGTTGATAGGTTGCTAATGCCACCCATATCTCACCCTTATAGATGTGCAAGATCTCAAAAGATTTAACAATTTGTTCTAACCACTCATCTGCTTTCATAAGGTCGAGCTCGCCACTAAACTTGGTAGGGTTTGAACGAAAGAATTCATTTTTCAGGAAAAAAGTTCTTGTCTCTCCTTTGACAGTCCTAGCTACTTGCTTTGCTCTCAATATGTCCATGGACTCTCTAACAGCCCCTGTCATCTCTCAGGCCAAAGCCTTCATTGCATCTTGGGCTAGTGGAGCGGCCACATTGTTCTAATCCACTCCTTTTTCTTGTGGAGGGATCTCTAGTTGGGCTGGAATATTCCTACTGTCTCGACGAGGTTTGCCACGGCCTCTACCACGTCTTGACATCCTATAAGAATCGTAGAGAAGATTAAATTCATGACTCGCATTTCTATACGTAGTCCTACCCGTCCCACACGCACTAGCATGAGAACATACAAGGTAACCTAACATTCCTTCCTACCATGATAAACCCATTGTGGCAAAAGCCACATCCCATGAGCTCAAGGTATTCAAACATGGTTAGATTTGATAGCAATTTGTAAAGCCCCCCTAAAAAAATTAATATAAATCCATCAATCAAAACATAGTTAAACACCAGAAGATTCTCTTTCTCATTGAAATAAGGTTTTTCATATATAGTTCTGTGTTTAACACACTAAATACACTTCCATATTACAAAGTTCAACAAGTTAGAGGGTACAAAATAGAATGCCATATTTGCATACAAAAACCCAAGGCATTGCCTTGTTACAACAAAAATAGACTCACGGTCCTAACAAAACAAGCTTGGAGCTTCATATTTGATCATCTATGAGCCTCGACACTCTAATCAGAACAGAAGTGTATATTTCATCTCACTAGGGTGGTGGCATATCACCAATTCCTGAAAATGTTAGATAAGAATGAGCTATATGCTCAGTAGAGATATATTTAACAGAGTATCTAATTATTTGAACATCTACATGGCTTCACCATAAGCCAATCATAATTTAAAATTTATGTTCAAAACTAAAATGGGTAAAAAAACAAATACATTTTTGTTCCATTGAAAACCTTTCTCAACACAAGGGGTAAATATGCCATGAATCCCTCGTAGGAGCCCCATACTACATATACGTATAGGTTTAAAACCAAACTATTATCCACATTTGCTCGCTATTGTTCACTTTTGCTGACTATTATACAACAAGACCAGTGAACATCCAAAAACATTTTCCCACATTCGTCTGACGATAAGCTCAAGATAGGAAAATTGGGCACATTAACTCCCCGCGCGGGTATCAATAGACACATTGTTCCCAAAAATCGACTCTCTACTTGGACTCATACTCTATTTACCTCCCCATTTTCACCACATTCCAAGTAATCAAGTGTTCAATAAAACACGAGATGATTATTGAAAAATAGAATACAATGATTATCAATTTACAAGTCCACAATCTCAACTCAACACACATTAATAATGTATTTCAAACTCTAATTATTCCCATAATTTCAAGATTTGAAGGTCAATTTCATTCAAGCATCATTTTCACCAAAATCAAGGTTTTTAATAAATTTGGGGCTTTTACCCCCTCTTCGTATATATGGTATTTCTCAACACCAATACCTGTAATCCATAATAATTTATTTGAAAATTTGTTAAATGTTGGGTAAAATTCCCTTTGTGTGAAAGATAAAACTTAACTTTTGCTCAATCATCAAAATAAAGTTTCATAGTCACAATAACACCACATAATCATCCTCAAACTAATGAGATACTAAGTTAAAAGTAACCCTACCTCAAGGAATAGCAAGAAAAGTAGACTTTTAAGAAGAATCCTTCGTAGAATTGAAATCCAATCAGTGGAAAGCAAGATCCTTGCGTAGACTCCACTTCTTGCAAGTGATTTAAGCTTGAAACTTAATGAATTGAGAGATATGTAGAGAAAGAAATCTAGGGTCTTCAAAATTAGTGTGAGAGGATGGAAGAGAGAAAAAGGAAAGTGAAAGAAATGATCTAAAAAAGGGTTTTTGAGCTGCTGAATTCGCATAGACCGCTCAAGCGGTAAACGAGATCTCTCAGTATCTCAATCTGCAAAACGAGATACTAAGAACCCCTCATATTCGCTCGAGCAACCACTTGTTCGCTCAAGCGATCCCTCAACCTGCAAAACAAACCACTGGGAGCTCCTTATCTCTGCTTGAGCGGCCTTTCCACCGCTCAAGCGGTCACCTGAAACAAATTGTCACATTATGTGTGGAGAGGAGCTTAAGGGATAGATAAGAGGCTTGAGAGGGATATGGATACATGTTAGACCAAGGGCGGCTGTTACGAGGTTTAATTTTTAGGGGATATTAAGTAAAATATATTTGTAAAAAATCAAATTTAATATAATTTTTTGATATTGATAATTCTTTTATCGAATTGTATTCATATTTCATTTTATAATTTATTACATTTATTATTATTATTTTTTTAGATACAAATGTAATTTTATGAAAATGTTACTATTAATATCTGATCAATTTAATTTTTTGAAAGTATGCTCTACTTGATGTAATGAATTGTTTAGATTATCAAAATAGGTCTCGATAAGAGTCAATAGAGATGTGATTTTTTTTATCTACTTTTTTTTAGTTATATTTTTTTGTTTTATGGAGATAAATAGATATGGAACGTTTCTTGAGGAGTCTCTATTTTACGAGAAATTGAGGAGATAGATATGGGTGTTAGGGATTGTGAGTTTTTATTTTAAAATAAAAGTCAGAGAAGAGTAGATTGAACTCCACTACATTCTGTTAAAATATACTAGCGATAACCCGTGCCAAGCACGGGCAAGTAACAAAAAAATAGTAAATAATGTTGAACATGTTAAAAATTAATAATTAAATATTATGATATTAATTTAGATGGGTATTGAAATAATATATTTAGTGATATTACTATATTTAATTAAATAAATTTAGAAGAAAAAAAAGTTCAACTGAAAATTAAGAGTAAGAGTGGATAAAAACAAATTAAGTTTAAATTTGAAGATAAACTATATATATATATATATAAAAGAAAATTAGATAAATCCTCAAAAAATGAGGTAGAGAGAAATTCAATAATTGAAAAAAAAAAAACAAAGTTGAAATTTAAAATTAAAAAATAAGATAAGACAAACTTAAAAAGAAAAACAAAATCTAATTTAACTCTAATAACAGAAGAACTTGAGAGGGTAATAATTAAAAAATTAGATAAGAGTGAAATGCCACTTATAATTTTTTAAAATTTATAAAAAAAAAAACTAAAATAAAATCGAGGTAGTATGTTAAAAATCAGATAAGATTTAAGTGCCACTTATAATTTTTTAAAATTTAAATTTTGTGTAGTTAAAAAATAAGCAATTATGTTATCTTATTATACAAATTTTAACTCTATTTTGTGTCTACATTTACCGAACAGGCAAACACTTTTCAGAATTCAAACACTTTCAAATATCAAACACCTTCAAACATTATAATATTATTATTTTTTAATTTCACTACAATTTTTTTTTATTTTTTTCCATTTTGAAAATACCCTCTTTATAATTGGATTTGAATGAAACGACAAATATAAAGTATTGCCACATTTGAACGAGAATGGATGCATAAATCGTTACTTCCATCCATATACTACTATAACAAAAAAAAGTGGCTTATTCGCAGTCTACCAAAAAATTGGATTGTCCAGTCTTGTAAATGAAATGATGTCACTTCATCATTTTGTCTATTCAACGGTTCAGATTGCATTGAAGAAAAAAGATAATAGTTTTATCTCTTATAAGTATCATGTTTGGTGACATCCCTCTCCGTCGTTGCCCTTTCTTCCCTCACCCATGGCCAGCGCAACATCATTCCACGCCATACACCCATTCCTCACCCATTTCACCACATTAATAAATAAATAAATAAATAAATACACATTTGTTTAACATGAAGAGAAAAAATAATTGAATGTATAAATGGTTGCACCAGAGCATGGGTTGCAAATTAGTTGGTGAGGGTTTGATTAATACTGTTGGACAATCTTCACTGTATTTAAAAGACTTAATTCTATTGTGTACAAAACAACAACTAGAATTTAAAGAAATAATGAAAAGGAGAGAATTTGTTTGATTACAAAAATCAAACTCAAAATAATAAATAAATAAATAAAAACAGATTTTATTTTGTTACAAAAACAAAATTAAAATCTGATTTAAATAAATAACAATAACACAAAAATTAATTAAATAACTTACTTGATTTAATTTCTTCGAATTATAATCTGATCAAGTCCAGTGTTTGACACTATGTCCTTAAGACAGATTCGTCCTCTCCACGGTGCTTTCAGAATGTGGACGTCTATCTCCCAGGATAAAATGATCTACTACAAACAATAGCAGCACTACAAAGTGTTTATACTCTCTCTGACAAGAAAATAATGCATCAAAATGAAGAGGATGTTTGCAGAATTATGAAGGACGAAAATTAGAGTTCTTCTAAATCCAAATGAGGGATGTCCTATTTATAGATGGAATGGTGGCTCTAGGTTTTTGAATTGAACAGGTATGATACCTGTTGGTTTTGAATTTAAACAGATTTGAATCTGTTGGGTTACAATTCAAACAGATAACAAAAACGGGAAGGGCCTTGTTTGGGTGTACAGTAAATTCGGATCAGATTATTTCCGGTTTAATACCGGAAGGGCCCTGTTTGGATGTACAGAAAAACCAAACCAGTTTAATTTGAATTCTGGATTTTATTTTACCAAAAATAAAATTAAATTCAAATGTTTTTGACCCAAAAAGATTAGTATTGGGCTGGACAAGCTCAACCCAACCCAACCACACACCACACACCACGCACCCGCGCCCAAGCCCAGTCCAGCCCGCCCGACCGGACGGACGGCGGCGCGCGCGCGTGTGTGGTGGTTTTTTGAGTCCAATGGGTCTAGCCCATTTTGCCCATAACCTCTCCCTCTAAAACATTTGGGTACCCCTTGGGGCACACCCCAAGTACCAAACCCATGCCTTATAAACCCTTTCAACACCTCCCACAAAATCAATGTAGGACAAGCCTTATTCAAACCTTTAAGGAATTTCCACCAAAACTCCATGTCCATGGTGCACACTTTGGCTTCAATTTCCCATTCACTCGGTAATGGTTTTGAGCAACCAAATATACCACGTGAATCACAACGC